ATTTACACGATACCAAAGCTAAACGTTCAATTTATTTAAGTAAACTATAATTACTAATTTATCTATATGTATATATATATATATAAAAAAATTTACAATCTGTACGTATTTTTTTTTAACAAATTATAGTACTGTATCACATTTTGGTGTTTCGCATTTCTTCTGCTGTTTTCGTTCAGAGAATGTGAATTATCTCACGTCTTCAAGCTCAGTCTGCGTTGATTCAGGTTGAACTTGAAGATGTTGAAGAAACGGCCCACCAGATGCGAGATCTCCAGATCCTGCAGTTTCCCGTTGATTATCTGCAACATGAAATTATTAACAATTCAATATTTCAACAATTGTAATAAAAAAAATAAAGGGACTTACGTCCTTGACGATCTTCGAAACGGCCGGTTCTATCTCGTCCCACACAGTGTCGATGGCCTGAGGCGTCATCGCCGTTATTGCTTTGTTAATTACGTCACCCATTTCCGGATCGTTCATTAGATTATCGAATCTGTTCTGCGAAAACACCGGAAACAATAAATTACAAATAAAGCAAACAGCAACAAAAAAAAAATTAAATTATTGTCCATTATTGTATGCTCATTCGAACATCGTTAGTGATAGTTTAAAAGCTCAAAAAAAAACTTGGTTACTATATCTATAATGTTTTAAAATACTTCAACTGTTTTCAGGACTCACTGCGTTCGCACATCATTAGATTACACTTAAAGTTCTGTTAATGAACCACAATTTTATAATTTCAGTTCAGTTGACTAAGTTGGCATAAGTACAAAATTATTGATGTTAGAAAAGTAAGCGTGAAAATGTTAAAATACTTCAACTACTTTCAGGATTCACTGCGTTCGCACATCATTTGAATACAATTAAAGTTCTGTTAATGAAACACAATTTTATAATTTCAGTTCAGTTGACATAAGTACAAAGTTATTAATGTTAGAAAAACAAGCGTGAAAATGTTACAATACTTCAACTGCTTTCAGGACTCACTGCTTTCGCATATCATTTGAATACAATTAAATTTCTGTTAATGAACCACAATTTTATAATTTCAGTTCAGTTGACTAAGTTGGCATAAGTACAAAGTTATTAATGTTAGAAAAGTAAGCGTGAAAATGTTAAAATACTTCAACTGCTTTCAGGACTCACTGGGTTCGCACATCATTTGAATACAATTAAAGTTCTGTTAATGAACCACAATTTTATAATTTCAGTTCAGTTGACTCAGTTGGCATAAGTACAAAGTTATTAATGTTAGAAAAGTAAGCGTGAAAATGTTAAAATACTTCAACTGCTTTCAGGACTCACTGCGTTCGCACATCATTTGAATACAATTAAACTTCTGTTAATGAAACACAATTTTATAATTTCAGTTCAGTTGACTAAGTTGGCATAAGTACAAAGTTATTAATGCTAGAAAAGGAAACGTGAAAATGTTAAAATACTTCAACTACTTTCAGGATTCACTGCGTTCGCACATCAT